ACATTATTTTCCACCTAGAAAAGCCAAAGGGATTGACCAGCACTTCACTCCCAGCATCAAAACCATCCCAAACCTCATCACCACAGCTGGGGTCCACAATATATAAATAAATAAGCAGAAAACAGGTGATTTTATCATGACTAATTTGTTTTTTTAACATTATTTTCCACCTAGAAAAGCCAAAGGGGTTGACCAGCACTTCACTCACAGCATCAATCTCATTGAGAATCTTCCACTGCTCGTACAGGACCCCCAGGGACTCGGCCGTCTGGATCGTCCTCTTCAGCTGGCTCGTCCACACCTTCAGATCCACAATCTCCTGCTCCTCAATGAACTTCTTCAGCGCTTGGGAAAACTGGGAAAAGGAAAAGGGCTCAGGGGAGGTCAGGAGGGAGAGCAGGGGAAGCCGCAGTGGTTTTAAAAGCATCATTTCAAGGGGGCCGTGGCGCTCGCGGCAAGATCCGGCTGCCCCGCGCAGGGGGGGACGCAGAGCCCGGCCCTGACCCTGCTCACACAACACAGACACAGCAGCCAGGTGCTGCCAGGCACGTACCTGCTTCCCACGAGGTGACAGACCAGAATCCCCACCAATCTTGCCAACAAGGTTATATTCACTCTCACCATGTCGGCAAAGGTAGATGGTGCGTGGCTGGACATGAATGTTCATTAGGTAATAGACGATTTTACTCTGGATGTAATCCTGGACTCTGTTTACTAGGAACCGCTGGCCCACATTGATCACTTTAATGAAGGAAAGATCTCTGGAGTCAACATAAAATAAGAACACCCACACGACTGGTTTTACAAACGAAGCACTTGCCACCTGCGGGTGTAACCCAGCTATTTATGCTCTAGGAAAGGCACCAGCACTGCCCCTGGTCACTCCAGCAGACGGGAGAGACACTGAACTGCTGGGCTTCAAAATGCTTCCCTGTGAGGGTGGTGGGGCCCTGGCACAGGTTGCCCAGAGAAACTGTGGATGCCCCATCCCTTGAAGTGTTTAAGGCCAGGTTTGACAGGGCTCAGAGCAACCTGGGATAGGGGAAGGTGATCTTTAAGGTGCCTTGCAACCCAAACCTATCTGTGATTCTGTGATCACACTAGAGAAAAATCCTTTCAAATCACTCGGGACCCGTGATATCACCTTCACACAACCACACTTTGGGAGAGCAGAGGCTCCAGCAGACACATTGGAGTGTCCCGAGCCACAGACAGCAAGGCAGCTCGTGTGCCCGAGCACAAAGTGCAGCCCAGGGATTTCCTTACTTGTCATCAGCATCGGGATCCAGAGGCTGGTAGGTGACCTTGTAGCACTCTATCCTCTTCAGGAAATCGTCCATCACGTTCTCTCGGTGTCTCTCTGGGTAGTCGGGGCTGGAAACTTTCACCTCCTGGTCAACAGACAGTGTGGCTTTGTGAGAGCAAAGCAAACTCAAGAGGGAACAAAAGCAACGCTGAATAAGGTTATTCTTCTCTTTTGCAACAAATCCACATTGTTTGACGCTGCCCTGAGGAAAAACCTGCTCCTGGAGAGGAAACAAAGGGCAACTCTGAAGGCACTGAAGTGCTTGGCCCTGGCAGACACACTGTGAGCTCTGCCCTCCCTCACCAACACACAGCACTTCAAGGTCAAACATTCCTCAGCTTCATTTGATTTCCACATTCTCACATAACGGCTCCTTTAGCTTTTTATAAACCTGCAAACCCCAGCTGCCTGCTCCCAAGGTGAAATGGAAGAGCGAGGCATTTGCAGACAATCCCCCTAAGCCACCGGAGCCCATGACCTTGCACTGAGTTCCCACAGCAGCTGAGCCTGGAAAAGGCAGCACGCACCAGGATATTGGCAGCAATGACCTCCGGATCATCACAGACAGACTCCACAAAAAACACCTAGGGAGAAGGCAGGGAAGCACATTTCAGAGAGGCAAGAATTCCACCTTGAATCAACACTCGAGAGCTGCTGCCCCGGGGAGCCACAGTGTCCCTGGATGCAGTGACTACAAATCAAACACAGGGGCACTACCTTGAAAGCATTTTCCTTTGCAAAATTTAAGATCAGGTCCCGTCGCTCTCGAGTTGTGTTGGTGGCATCAAACACCTGTCAGAAAATGAGCAGCAATAAACAAGTTTATCTGAGACTTTTAAACCAGCCCCAAGTCAGGTCCCCAAACCCCCCAGGGCAGCTTTGAACTACCCCAATGGAAAACTCTGCCTGGTGCAGAGGAATCTTACAGCTATTTGCCCGCACTCCTCCAGCAGATAAGCCTTCACATCTTCCAGAGCCACCAAGGCACATCGTCTGTGGGACAGAAACAGGGATTGTCAGAGCTCATGGAAAGCATTCCCACAGCAAAGCCTCTGAACCACCAGGGAGGGATTTAAACGCCTCTCTCCCACCCCTGCATCTTCCCAAGAGGCCCAGAGATCACAAGGCACCTGCATCTACAACCTGCTCCATCACCTGACACTCGCAGCCTAAAGTGAACAACAACACTCCCACGCACATCCCCTCTGGCAGGATCCCTGTGCTGTTCCCTCCTGCTTCCACAGGCACCAGATGTTATTCCGTGCTCCTCAAACACAGAGCCTGCCAAGACCTGAGAGTCCCCAACCCCCAAAACCAACTCACTTGCGGATTTCCATGGCCTCCTTGTTGTCGTGCCTGAAGAAGTCGTAGGACTTGTAGGACTTCACCGCCTCGCGCCGGTACACCCCTAAATTAAACACTTTACACACGAGAGGAGGAGGAGGGCGTGAGGCTGATGGAATTTCACTGACAGATCTCCCAGTAAAGGGCAAAAAAACATCCTCACACACACACACACACCTTTGGTGGGCACCCCGATCCAGTTGAGGTAGCGGGTGAGCTTCTTGGACATGTAGGTCTTGCCACGGGCAGGGAGCCCGATCATCACGATCAGGGTCGGGGAGTTGGTCATGTAGGAAGCCCATGCTGCAAAAAAAAAAACAAAAAACAACAAACTCACCCCAAAACAGCAGCATCAGCAGCACTGCGGAGCAAAAAGCGACACCCGACCCAAAGCCACCCCATCTCCGGATGGACAAACCACCTCCGAGCATCTCCTAACGGGCTCTCGCGCATCCCATAATGAGCTCGCGCTGTGTCCTCGCGGCTAATTAAGTGCTGCGACCACTCCGTGGTCTCCCAGGTGTTCGCTAATGAGGCGGACCAGGAACACCGGTGCCTAATGGGGCTAAAACGCGGCTTTTAGCGCTAAAAGTGTTTACCGACCGGGGCAGGAGCCGCCAAGGGCGAAAGAAAGATGTTTTTAACAAACCGGTCACGTTCTCTCAGCAAACAGCCAGGGCAGGCTCGGAAAATGCCCGGGGAGAGGCAAGTTCGGGGGAAAAGCAGGGGATGGGGATGGATACAGCATCCAGGAGGCAGAAGAGAAGGAGGATGGGGGCGAGCGGGGCAAGGTGACCCCGAGGAGGAGGGAGACAAGGGCGGGCAGGGTTCGGGCACCCCCAGTGCGGGTCCCGCGCGGGAGGAACACGCGTTTTGGGGAAGGCGCGCGCTTCCCTCCACGGTGACACACACACAACCCCCCCCGCCCCCGATAATTAATTTCCTTAAGGACACGAAGCCGCATCCCTCCATCCCTCCCTCCCCCCGCGAGCCGGGGTTACTCACAGCACTGCTTCTCGCCCGCCCGGCCCCGCGGGGCCCCGCCGCAGCCCCGGGGCGCCGCCGACATGGCTCCGGCACGGCCGCGGCTCCGCGCCGCATGCAAACGAGATGCAAATGCGCTATGCAAATGAGCGCCCCGGGCGCGCGGGAAAAAGGGGGCGGCCGGGAGCGGGTCCGCGTCGCGCGCGTGCGCTGTATGCAAATGAGGTGGGCGGTGGCGCCGCGCAAATGAAAGGCGTCCTTGTTATGCAAATGAGGTGGGCGGTGCCGCCGCGCGCGGTGCAAATACACGGCGTCCGCCCCTATGCAAATGAGATGGGCGGTGACGCCTCGCGCTGTGCAAATGAATACACGCAGTTGTCCCTCTCTATGCAAATGAGATGGGCGGTGCTAACCGGCACTATGCAAATAAGATGCACACGGTGATCGTCTCGAGGCAAATGAGACGGGCGGTGTCGCCCCGCACTATGCAAATGAGATCCACATAGCACCCGCCTCTATGCAAATGAGACGGGCTGTGCCGTGGCGCTACCTAAATAAGACAGGCGTGGTCATGTTATGCAAATGACAAGGGGGCGGTGCCTTGCGACACTCAAAGGAGGTGGCCGGCGTTGTAAACGAGATGTACACGGTGGCCAAGCACTATGCAAATGAGATGGGCGGCATCGCTGTTGTTATGCAAATGAGACATACACGGCGATATTTTTATGCAAATGAGATGGGGGGTGCTTCCGTTGTTATGCAGATTAGACACACAGTGATCGGTTTATGCAAATGAGATGGGCGGTGCCGCCCGGCGCTATGCAAATGAGCTCCTCGCGGCGCCCCGCCCTCTATGCAAACGAACCGGCGCCGCCGCCGCCGCGCTCCGGGCGCCGCCCCCGGCGCGGCTCTCGCGAGAGCGGGCGGGGCGGGCGGGCGGCGGTGCCGGTGCGGGGGCCGCGATGCTGCGGCTGCGCTGCAAGGCCCGCAGCGGGTCCCACGCGCTGCCCGCGCTGTCCCCGCACTCCCCGCTCCGCGACATGCAGGCCGCGCTGGCCGCGCTCACCGGCGTGCCCGCCCCCGCCCAGCGCCTGCTGCTCGGCTTCCCGCCGCGCTCCCTCGACCTCAGCGACGGCGAGCGGCGGCTCGGCGAGCTCGGCATCCACTCGGGTGAGGAAGGGGGGGGGAAGGGGGGAGCGGTGTAATTAATGTAATTGCGATAATTAGAGAGGCCGTGGCGCGCACGCCCCGTCATCAGCCGGCGGTCGGGCCGGTTCCTGTCCCGGGGAGGTGTCAACACCCGGCTCGGGAGCGTTTCCTGCTCGGGGAGCGCCGGTGGTGCTTTGGCGGCGTCCCGGGGGTCCAGCGGCAGCGGCGCGGGGCTGGAGGGGACGGGAGCGGGACACGCCAGGTGAGTCCCCCCGGGGCCGCTGGGCTGCCCCCGGCTGCTTGGATAGAGCTCTTTCCCATCAGGATACTGAGCTGGGGCTGCCCCAGCCCTGGAAGTGTCCAAGGCCAGGTTGGACGGGGCTTGGAACCCGGGCTAGTGCAGGGTGGAACTGGGTGATCTTTAAGGTCCCTCCCAACCCAAGCCATTCCACGGTTCCATGATTCTGTTCTATGACCCTCAGCAACAGCAACAACACCACCACAGCTGTGTTGTTGTGTTTCAGGAGCAGCAACAGCAGCTTTAAACTCCACCTGCGTGTGTCCCTCTCACCTCTCCCTCGTCCCCTCTGGCAGGTGACACCCTCATAGTCGAGGAGGACACGTCCAAGCCCGAGCCTGACCCGCCTGTGGTGGCCAAGAGAACCATGTCCCACCCGCTCAGGGAGGCCGTGCCCGTGCTGGCCAGGAGGGTGGTCCCAGCAGACAATTCCTGCCTGTTCACCAGCGTGTCCTACGTGGTGGAGGGCGGCGTGTACGACCCCGGCTGCGCCCCGGAGATGCGGAACCTCATCGCCCAGATCGTGGCGAGCGACCCCGAGTCCTACTGCGAGGCCGTGCTGGGCAAAACCAACAGGGAGTACTGTGACTGGATCCGGAGGGAGGACACCTGGGGGGGGGGCCATCGAGGTGTCCATCCTGTCCAAGTTCTACCAGTGCGAGATCTGCGTGGTGGACACGCAGACCGTGCGCATCGACCGCTTCGGGGAGGACGCCGGCTACGCCAAGCGCGTCCTGCTGATCTACGACGGGATCCACTACGACCCCCTGGAGCGCCGGATCCCCGACTCGGACATTCCCCCCCAGACCATCTTCTCCACGAGCGACGACGTGGTGCTGGCGCAGGCCCTGGAGCTGGCGGACGAGGCCAGGAGGAAGAGGCAGTTCACGGACGTGAACCGCTTCGCCCTGCGGTGCATGGTGTGCCAGAAGGGACTCACGGGGCAGCTGGAGGCCAGGGAACACGCCAAGGAGACTGGACACACCAACTTCGGGGAGGTGTGACACGGGCAGCATGAGGATGGTTCCATCAACTACCTCACCGGTCCAGGATCAGATTCTGGATTCCCCCCCAGATAAGCTGTTTGTAACCGTAAAAAAAACTCCGTTCGTGACAACAAAAAAAAAAAAAAAAGAAAAGCTTGAAAAGCAAAGTAGCAAAGTTAACTTCATGGTGGCCAGGTTTGGGAATAGGGGATTGGAAATTAGGGATCTCCTCGCATAGCAGGTGGTGGACAGGGGCAGCTACACCTCGATTCCTGGAATAACCTTTTGTGTGTGTGGTCTGAGCAGATAGACACAATCAGGCTCAACACTGGTGTAAAATCCACCTCTGAGTTGCTGAGTGAACCTCTCTATGTTTTCCAGGTAATTAATCCAAAGGTTTGGGAAACACACGTATCAGCATTACTTACACTAAGAATTAGGCTCTGCACGTGGGAGCACTTCTCAGAGGAGAAGCTGCTCGTGTGGTGCACAATTTGTAATAGAAATAGCAAATACAACATCAAAATGTAGTAGAAAGAGGATCTCGGAGCTGCCCTACACCATGTTACCATCAGGAGCAGACTGTAGTTTGTGTGAAGAGAACTTTAGGGAAAGAAGTGGCCTCTAAGCTTTAAGGTAGCCTTTAAATTAATGAGTAGATGGATAAGTGTTGAATAAACCTATTAATCCTCCATAGGTAGTTTTTAGTTGCTTGAAAAAAAAATAACTCTCAACCCCCTGGTGTTTACACTGCATCACAACGTAGGCATGTTTTCCTGGAATACTTGGTATTCTTCTTCTTAATAGTATTGGGAATTCTGGCAAGAGGGAAATAAGTAGTTAGGGAAATGACTTAATTTGCATCTGTTAAATACATTTAAGCAGACTTTACTTGAGTAGAGCCAGTCATGGCCATAGTGTTACAAAGCTGTTCCAGGTTCCAAATACTGTATTATGAGCACTTTAAGGTTGAGTTCTCACTCTTTGCTGGTAATAAGTTTTGCCCTTTAAAGGCCGGAGTGCTGAGCCAGAAGGGAGGCTTGAAGTTTCTTCATCTGCTTTCTGCCTTAATGTGTTTTTTTTATCACTGGTGACTGTAGAGTAGCAAGACTTTTAATTCTGATAATGAAAGGTGCAGTTGAAATTTCAGAACAAAATAAGCTGTGTTTGTACCGTTGAGTATCAGGGAAGATGAAATGGGTTTGATATCTTACCTCACAGTGGGGTTGTGAAGCTTAACTGCAAGTGCTTTTGAGGTCTTTTAAAAGGTGCTGTAAAGGTGCATATTACTGAAGGGGATTTTTTTTTTCCTTTGAAATGCCTGCAACACATACTTTGTTTCTTGAATTTTAAAATATTCTTTGCCTGCCATTTTTCTGTTACTGTCTTGAGTGACCTTCCTTGCACTTTTAAAACGGGGAGCAAGAACGTGCATCTATCTTTGGACTGAGGCAGAAATAAACCCACTTTCCACGTGGAACCTAAAATCCAGTTTTAAAGGCCTCCATTCCTTAAGGCACCTGACTAAAGTGGTGCAGCAAAACCACCTTTTCTACACAAAAATCACGTTTCACTGAAGTTCTCAGCGAGAGCTCCCAGTTGGATCTTGAAACACAGGAAGGTCTTATTGAAGAAGAAACATAATTACACAAGTGCTTTGCTGAATTAAGGCATGAATAATTAAATATAAAGACTAGAATCACCAAGAGCACTATGGACCAGGTTTGGTTTTAATTCAGTATTAAAATACACATTAGCACTGTTGGGAGTTTCCTGTAGAAAACCATTTAGCTTCCAGTGTTAAACCCCGCTCTGCTTTTAGCCTGTCATTAGGAAAAGAAGGAAAAAAAAACCCCAAACCCAGCATTAAAAAGAAGCTAATGCTTAAAACCCAGCCCTCTAGAAGCTGATGCTTAAAAACCTAAAGAAATACCCGCCAGTTCAAAGGAACTTGAAGATTACACTGTGTTATAACTACTTGAGCTGAAATCCTGTCTAGGAATGAGACCAAGAGACTGTCAATCCCAAGGTGTGTTCTCAGCTTTCCCTTGGAAGCTGTGAGATGCCTTGGGCAAGGAGCTGATCCTCACCCTTTGCCATCTGTCAAATGGACACAAAACCTACCTCAGAGAGGTGCACGAGGTGTCTTTGGGTGTCTTTGAAACAGGAGTGGAAGATCCATATTTATTGTCTGCCATGTTTGCAAGCGCATTGACTTCGGGGAGCAACATTTTAGATTTTAGCTTCGTGTCCTTGGGTGGTTTTCTCAAAGTGTGTAAAACATCTTTTTTTGTTGTTGTTGTTTTGGTATTTCTCAGTTGCAGTATTTTTTCAAATTAGCATTCTTTAATCCAGAGTGTTTAGCTTTGCTAGATCATGTTTGCCTTGGAAATCTGCTAAAAGAGAGAATCAGTTCCGTTTGAGGGAGACGTGTCACTTATCACTGCTTGGATGTTTTCTTTTGTTGCCTAGAAAATAAAATCTCTTTGCTTAAAAAAAAAGAATCTCAACTGAACTGCTGTAATTCCTGGCTGTAAAAGTTCACACTGTTACAGGCTGACAGACTCAAAGAACAAGTAACCTCTGGTACTGAGTCAGAAAACCACCTGTGATTTTCCTAAACTGTCCCAAACAAAAGTATCTACATTATTTCAAATGTAAGGTCTGGGTAGATTTAAAGTACAAC